GCAGAATCTCTATGCTGTCTTAGTATCATGATAGCTTAGTGATCTGCTAGATCTTACCAGGTGGGCCCAGACAGTGGCCTATTTTGGTTCATTCTTTGATCTCAACCCCCAGCTTTTAGCAAATGTGTTCTATTTCTGTAGCCACAGCCCTTTTAGATGCCAAGATGCCACTTGTCACTTTCAGTATTTGTGTGCAAAGAATTGTGATGTTCTAGAGTTTATATACTGGGTGATACAGACTTGCCTTGGAAGTAAAGATTCTTTGAAATGTTTGCCATAGACTGAATTGTGCTACCTGCTTCAGCTAAGTGTGATTCTTGATAATGAGTGAAGGGATTGAAGGATTTAATAGCGCTTAGCTACCAGAGAAAGGGTTAGGAGGAGGGTTTTAAATGCTCAAAATTGAAATGGTGTCTTTTATGAGTTAACATCTGAGTTAATTTATGTGTGTCTCTTTCAACTTTAACAATGTAGTTACGAAGTTGCCAGATTGTATGTGTTAAAATATGATCAGTTATGTAGTAATGCATATTTCTAAAAATGAAACAACGGGAGTTCATGTCCAAAACTGAAGTTCATAATAACTACATGCTCCTTGCCCACACAGAAAACAGGAACAACCCCTTCCTACAAACATAATCAAATAGTGTTATCCTTGGTGTTGAAAGACTGAAGTTTAGACCTGGCTACTCCGTCTCCCATTATTATCAGTTGGACTGACAGATGTCAAGAGTCATTAACCCTACCTTGATCTCCATTTCCTCTTCTGAAAAATTAGTAGGTGAACAAGATAAGCCCATCCCAAGCTCTGAATTCTTTTAAGGTACTCTAATAGAAATGGAATATTTTAAAAATTTGCTCTGTCCCTTTAAATTCAGAAATGTCTCTATATGCATTATTTAATCTTCCAGAGTAAGTTTAAGTTTAAGGCTGTTCGGAAAAAAATCTTAATTCTTAAGTTTCTAGAAAAGTCTTGTACATGGTGAAGACTTTTACATCTTAGGAGCAGTTTAGGCTGTGATTTTCCCAAAAAATGCTTCACATATGATATAATTTTCAAAATACCACTGAAATGTGATTTGTCAGTTTACTATTTATCTTCGGATATATGTAATTTTTCCAGACTTTCAATTCTAATTGCTTTCAGTTTTAAGAGCAAATCATGTACAGGTAGCTTTTATACCACAGGATGGTTTATGTAAAATGTTTATAACAAAGGAATAACTCTCCAAAGCTAGTTCTTATTGTCACCTGTATAGATAAACAGATTTTCCCCTAAATTAGTGTTAAAATTGCCCATTTCCGGATATGACTATCAAAGAATGCAATGCCCATCTAATACAAGCATGTAAGAAAAAATTAAATTCTTCCATAATTATTTTAAGACCCAATAATTTCATTCAGTTATCACTTGATGTTTATTCAGTTTCAAAAGATAAAAAGTAATATTTATTAATATTGACACTCAGCATGAAATACAGAATGCTTTCTCCTCTTACCTAACGTGTGTGTGTGTGTGTGTGTGTGTGTGTGTAAAAGCACAGATTTGGTAACATTTTAAAATGTTTGTGATGGCAAGATGCCTGGCATATTCACACACTTGGAGCAAGTAGCTTTGAGAAAGTTTATTGCTCAGAGTTGCCTGAATGGGTGTTTCTGGACTTGTTGGATTTCTAATTTATGTCTCGCTCTGTTAGGAGAACATTGGGGTATTTTATTTTATTTATTTTTTAAATTTAGAGACTTTAGAACTATTTGGGAAACAGCATCTCCAAGTGTACTGGCAGTCCAATTTACATTCATTTTATTTGAAACTGAAGTGTTTATACTTTTTTCTTATCAGGAGGGTAAGAGAGAAGCAGAAGTTAGATACTTTTTTTTTTTTTTTTTTTGCTGGGTCACTTCAAGGTTTTCATTATGCAAAGAAGGGTAGAGATTTTTTAAGAAATTGAAAGATCCACTATGAAACTAAAAGGCTTTATTCCCTAGTTTTTATTCAACCCCAAATTCTGATTTGAAAATAAATAATAAAAAAATCTTCCTAGAAAGTAAAAACAGCTCCATAATGTAATAAGGCCCCATATTTTAAATCCTATCAAAGCAAACATGGGCTGTGGCTAGAGGACAGAGGGTCATCCCTCTCTGCAGACAGGTTGGTTGGAGTTTTTTCTCCATGTCCAGTCCCCGGGCATTTTTGGTCTCTGACAAATGTGCTGTCTACACAATGTGAAGGACTTTGAAAGCAGCCACAGCCTGTTTTTCCCTTTCGTGTCTGCTCTGCAGTATTTCCAGCAGTGAGATTTCAGGCAGAGCATCTTCTTTTTGAGTATAGGTGGGATTTTTCTTTTCCTTTGATACTTGGCCAGTCAGATTTGAAGGTTTGGGTTTGGGGATGGTCTTGGCATATTCCAAAGCCTGAAAGCATAAAGATAAAGTTTCATTTGAAATGGGAAGTGACTCCTGGATTCCTTAAATGAAATCAAGTCTTAGGACATGTTTACTGGTAATACGAATGGACACTATTGCTACCATAAGGTACTAAGATGTGGATGGGAATGGAGAGCAGATGGGAAATGCAAGTCCTGCAATATAATGCACAGTTTCAACGAAGTAAGTTAGCCACACAACAGTATGCTATGAAAAAGAGCTGGAAAATGAAAAAGAGTTGTGCCTTTAGGCATTTTCTTTATAAAACGGAGTTTTATTCGAGGTGTTTGAAAATAGATTTCTCATGTGTGGGCTCTATTTAGCTTCTGGCGGTCTTATTAAAACCAAACTTCTAGTAAGGAGATATTAACAGACCTTTCCATTCAAAGTGGACTTGCTACAGCTTGAAACCAAAGACATCACTGTAGTTGACAAAATTGAGCTTCAGTTATTACATCAACTATTCTTGTTCCCAGGCTTTTGGAACTCTAGCAACTACTTATTAGCGGTTGGAAATTATTCTTTTCTTTTGCATATCCATAGAATCCTGGAGACTGGAAAAAGCAGTCTTTTTTTCAATGATGTCAGTTCCAAAAGGCACTACAATAAAAATGAGATCACTAAATATGATTTCTAAATCTGTCTTTATATCAATTTTATATTTTAATAAGTTTCTTGATAGCTGAAATAGGAGTAGATAGTATATTCAGGTGCTGGAAGGGGAAAAAAAATGCCCAAACTTCTCAGTGTGTGTAGGTGACTTCTGTAGGAATTTCTAATTACAGACTTGTTGTCTTGAATCTCTTCATGGAAAAAATAATGGATTGGAGAAAAAGAAAAAGTGGCACCATGGAAACTCAATCAAGTGGACTGAAGTCTTCAAGGTCCGAGGAAGAAAGGCAATAAATAGAAAATAGGATGGTCTGTGAGAGAGAACATGAAGTACAAATTCCTAAAAGCACCAAAGGGTCACTTGTCCCTCATGCAAAGGGTCCCATGTTCTTCTTGGGACTGAGACAGAGACTTTGCAAGGCTCGGTGTCTCGGCTGAACGTACGTCATTCACATCCTGACTTATAGTTGGATGACCTCTGAGAGGGAGAACATTCTGTATTTTATGAAATAACTTTTCATGGCTAGAGGGACCTATATATTACAGTCCCTTGGGAAAAATCTAGGGGAATGAACTTGAAAGAAACAACGAAGAAATTTCCTTTGACATATGTACCCATAAATGGCAAGAAGACGCTAATTCCTTAAAATTTAATGGTAGGGAAGGAAATTGATAGGATTTATCAGAATTGCTAGTTTCTTCTAAGAAATCACCTTACTATTCAATTAAAAAAATTTTTCTTGAGTATAGTTGACAAACTGTTACTTTGGTTTCGGGTGTACAACTTAGTGATTCAACTTCTCTGTGTCACACTGTGCTCATCACAAGTGTAGCTATCCTCTGTCACCATGCAACACTATTACAGTATCATTGACTATATTCCCTGTGCTGTACCTTTCATGCCCATGATTTACTCATTCCAGAGAGATAATCTCTCTCCCCTTCATACATTTTGCGCATCACCCCACCACCTCCCCTCTGGCCACCATCAATTTGTTCTCCGTAGTTATAGGTTGGATTCTCCTTCTTGTTTTGTTTATTTGGTTTTCAGATTCCACATACGAGTGAATTGTATGGTGTTTATCTTTCTCAGTTCTGACTTATTTCACTTAGAGTAATATCCTCTAGGTCCATCCGTGTTGTCACAAATGACACCATCTCATCCTTTTTTTAAAAATTCTTTAAAAATTTATTTCTATTTAAAGATTTTATTTTATTTTTTTATGAAAGAGAGATTGAGAGAACTAGTGGGAGGAAGGGCAGAGGGAGAAGCAGCCTCCCTGCAGAGCAGAGAGCCCGATGCGGGACTTGATCTAGGACCCCGGGATCATGACCTTAGGGGAAGGCAGATGCTGAACCGACTGAGCCACCCAAGCGCCCTCATCCTTTTTTTAAGGCTGTGTAATACGTTTGTGTGTGTGTGTGTGTGCAGGTACACACCACATCTTATCCATTCTTATATAGATGGACACTTGGGCTGCTTCCATATCTTGGCAATTGTAAATAATGCTGCAATAAACATATGTGTGCATATATCTTTTCAAATTAGTATTTTCGTATTCTTTGGGTAAATAATCAGTAGTGGAATATATTGGATTATATGGTAGTTTTTTTTTTTTAAGATTTTATTTATTTATTTGACAGAGAGAGACACAGCGAGAGAGGGAACACAAGTAGGGGGAGTGGGAGAGGGAGAAGCAGACTTCCTGCTCAGTAGGGAGCCCGATGCAGGACTTGATCCCAGGACCCTTGGATCACGACCTGAGCGGAAGGCAGACACTTAACCGACTGAGCCACCCAGGCGACCCATCATATGGTAGTTCTAGTCTTAATTTTTGAGGAACTTCCATACTGTTTTCCACAGTGGCTGCACCAGTTTGCATTCCCACCAACAGTGCATAGGGTTCCTTTTTCTCCACATCCTGACTGACACTTGTTATTTCCTGTCTTTTTGATTCTAGCCATTCTGACCAGGTGTAAGGTGATCTCATTGTGGTTTTGATTTGCATTTCCCTGATGATGAGTGATGTTGAGTGTCCTTTCCTGTCTGCTGGCCTTACTGTTCATTTTTATGTGTGTCAACTTTGAAATACAAGAAGAAAACATGTGGAGGACTAAAGACCATGATGAACTTCAGGTTAACCTTACCGGCATTATTTGTGTACCTGTTATTTGTGTATCAGTATCTGTGAATGATGGGTAGCCACAGGAATGGCAGCAGCTAAGATATCTCCTGGGTTCAAAAAACATGGGGAATTTGCTCAGCGGTAGCAAAGGTTTCCTTTTAATTCTAATTGAAAAGCTAACTGCCTTGGTGGGGATTTCTTACCTTCTGTCGAGGGATGGCAGATTGACTTTCAGTTTTCGCTGTTTGTGGTTTTGACAGAATGCTTAGGGTCTTCATGTTATACTCCTTAACTTGTTTCGCGTATTCCTTTTTTTGGATTAATTTCTGCCTCTGTTCAGAGAAACCATGTTACGACAGTGCACAGGTCCTGTTAGATCTCTCTGTTCTCTCTTTAAAAGCAGCACTCATTTTAGCCAGCTGGGTATATTGTATCAGCAGCAGAGAGGAAATGGGGTTAGCAGGCGTAAGGCAACAGCAGTGAGATAGTTAATGTTTCTCCAGAAACAGTCTCTTTCTGAGGGGCAACATCACTGCCATAGCACAACCCGTGTTCCCTTAACAGGGTCTAAATCACATTCTGCTCCTTCTTTGTTGCATTTACCCAATTTATTTTCATTTTGGCTTCCAACTTTGAACTATACTCTCTTTTTATGCCTTGAGTGCAACTGTAGTTAAAACACATTAAATGGAGATCTTCTTTCACTAGAGGAAAGGAAATAAAGTGGATGCACTTTTCAGGGGTTGGGAAACTCTTATCCTAAGTGTCTTCTCTGTAGCCGCTCTTCAAAATTACCAAGATCACTCTATTGGGAAAGACCAACGACCATATAACACACACATCTCTTTTCATGTGCACATGGCCCCCTTTTCTGTGCAGGCCTTCAAGACTAACTAAAAGGTAGATACATAAAACAACATTGGCTAGGTAATTTTATCTTATGGTAAAAGGAGTATCTGGGTCTCTATTACTAATGCTATTTCACAAGGGTCTCTATTCAGAGGGAGACATTTGGATTAGGACTTGGTTCTCGGGGGGTGGTGGGAGACATGTCTGTACAGTTCTGCTAATACAAATCCAAGTGGGGCAAATCCAAGCCTACAAAATGTTGTATGTCTATCACACTCACTTTGTCTCTGATGGATTCAAGGTCAGGTCCAAGGCCTCCAAGCTTCACATCTCTTTTCTGATAACCTTTCAGCTTGGAGCTCTACAAATACAAAGAGACAGTTTCTTTTAAGGAATTGTGTGCCCGCCCCCCACACTATGCTCTCATAGCCACATAAGGAAAAGAATGGAAGCTCGTGTGGACGGTTGGGAGAGTGGGTGCATTTCCTGACCCTTCTTCCACCCTAATGGCAGTTATTGATAATAGCTTCTTGGGTAATTTGTAGCTGGTCAGCTAACATGTTTTGACTTTGCCAACTTCTGCAACAACAAAAAAATGGGAATTCTGAACATTATAAATAAAAATTTCCAAGTGTATAAAGAGTTGTTTTGTTATTAATGTTCTACACAACATATACATCACCACTTTTCTGCTGCCATTACTATTACATCTGGTCTTGTACAGTTCATAAAACCAAATGATTTTTAAATCCGGTAAGCATTGCTTCAAAAGGAGAGTGCTCTGTCTAATGATGTCCTAACATTCAAAAGACTGTAAATTTTTAAAAATTTAAATTCAGTTAACATAGAGTGTATTATTAGTTTTGGAGGTAGAGTTCAGTGAGTCATCCGTTGCATATAACACCCAGTGCTCATTCCATCACGTGCCCTCCTTCATGCCCATCCCCCAGTCACCCCATCCCCCACCTGCCTCCCCTCCAGCAACCCTCAGTTTGTTTCCTAGAGGTAAGCGTCTCTTGTGGTTTGTCTCCCTCTCTGATTAGGAAAAGACTGTAAATTTTTAAGGGTTAAGAGTCTTGGCAAGATCTGGGGCACCTAAGTGGCTCAGTTGGTTAAGTCTCCGACTCTTGATTTGGGCTCAGGTCATATGATCTCAGGGTCATGAGATCAAGCCCTGCATCAGGCTCCACGTTCAGTGTGGAGTCTGCTTCTCTCTCTCGGCCTCTCCTCCTGCTCGTGCTCTCTCTCAAATAAATCTTTTTTTTAAAAGTCTAGGCAAGATCAACTGAGAAACTCCTTTTAGTCAATGTGGTTTTGAATATTTTGAAGGGCATAAGTAATTTTATATGACAACTCTTACTAGTATTGAATATTTAAAGGGACAGAGTAACATAATAAGGCAATTTAATTTTTGGACTATGACTCTTGAGCTCAGGAACAGGCAGGAAAAACACTAATGCTTTTCTGACTGTAGGATAGATTGAAATATTCCCCAAACTGTTGCTTTCAATGTTAAAACTGACTTGCTACTTGGGGAAGATGCCCTTGTGGGGATACCAAATCCTTTGAGTAATGAGTTCATTTGATTTCCTTCCTTGGGAAGAATAGGAAGGACAACACCAAAGAGCTAGTGTGACAGTGATTCTATTCAGACAAAGTCGGTGCTTAGAACAGAGAAAGAATAGCCATCCTGAAGAGGGGACAGGCAGCTCTGTACTAATTGTACATGGTACTACCTCGCTATATGAGAATGACAAAGCTCAGGATTTTTCTAAATTTTGAAAGCTCCTACAAATTATGTTAAATCCTAAGATATGCAGTATATCTAATGAGGGTTTTTTTTTTTTTTTTTAGATTTATTATTTGTCAGAGAGAGGGAGAGAGTGAGCACAAGCAGGGGGAGCAGCAGAGGGAGAGGGAGAAGTAGACTCCCCGCTGAGCAGGGAGCCCGATGCGGGACTCGATCCCAGAACCCTGGGATCATGACCTGAGCCAAAGGCAGATGCTTAACTGACTGAGCCACCCAGCTGTCCCTCTAATGAGCTCTTAAGACAGAATTTGGCAGATTGTCCAGAGACTTAAAGAAAAATTCTTATATTGGATATAGTTACTACCTATAGCTTCCAAATCTTAAAAGTGTCCAATATACATTGTATCAGTGGTTACAAGAATGTGTTCTACTCCCCCTGGCCTATTGGCTGACTACCCATAGCTCATACCAGTTAGTTTCTCCCTTGTCCTTCCCCACCATAGAGGCTTGGAGACAGGTACTCCTTTCCCCAGATCTGTAGCATTGAGCTCCGGCCCATGACGAATAAATGCAAGTTGGCCAGGGTAGAGTTTGCATCTTAGTTTTCATTAAGGCTGGTGAGGCCCCACCCTTTCCTTTTCCTGCCTTGAATGTGGATATGACCGCTGGAGCTGCAGCAGCAATCTTGTGTCAGGAAAGCAACCAGAGAACCATTCAAATATTGGTTCTGCTGTTTGAGCTGTGGACCACCAGTGCTAGGTACTGTCTACTTGTGGATTAACTGTAGGTGAGAAGAATGAGCTCATAATTTTGAAGTTGCTGTAAACAGTAATTGTGTGACTGGTAGCCGAAAGCAATATTTCTAACATTTTAGTACTTCAGAGAGCCAGAATCCTGTATCTTTTAGGCAACATTTCTATGCTGCAAGGATTGAGTCCTGCAAATAGAATTTCCCTGATTAGAATGTTCAAAATTTATAGTCAAAAGTCTTTCATTATAATTGTAAAACACAAGAGAGGATCTTTTTTTTTTTCTTTTTAAAGAGGTTGTTGGGCTAAAATCATTAAAAATATTAAAGTATAGAGAAAAAAATATTGTTCATTAGAGGCTTTTCAAAATCCTAAATCTCCTTAGAGAAAACAATCACCTGGCAAAAACATTCCAGCTACTTCGTGCCCTTGACATCTACGTGTTCATATTTTCATAAAATTGCCAAGTGCTACAAATTAGTTTTTTTCACTAAGTATTTTAGCATTATGCTGTATTTCCCTGTCACTAAATATTTTTCAAAAATGTGACTTTCATACATAACATTCTAAATGTTGAACATTTAAGATGTCCTAGGGATGAGCATTGTTTGTGGGCTACTCTGATGATTGCTTTTAGATCTAAACTGAATAGAATTGGAATTATTGAGACAAAAATCACAAACACACTTAAGGTCCTTAACACTTCCATTAGCAATGTGTAAGAATGCACTTTTTGTCCAAACCTTGATTACACTGGGTATGACCACATTTTAACATCTCCCCTAATTATTAATAGGTGAATGAACTCCGGTATCTTCTACTTGGCAATTGCAAATTTGTTCTTTATCTTGGGCATGCCATCTGTACTGCTGTTTTGTTACTTTCTGTTTGCCAAAGTAAACCAATAATGAAAAAGGAAGAGAGCCTTGCTCATCTCCAGGTCATAAATCCAATTTGTCCAAAACTGATGAGAAATGATCAGTGGCCAGAAATCACATACTTAGCGTGAAGCAGCTTAACTTTAATCATTGAGCTGACACAGAAGATACAGTGTGAAGCATGAATAATTGCTCCCTGCACCGCACCCCCACGTTGTCCCAGTTTTTACTAGCCCCTCGAATAATCAGAATAAACATCTTGGTTATCCTAGGAAAACAGCAAAGGCTCTAGCATTAAATATTGACACAAAGTAAACAATGTGGCCCAAGGAGGGGTATGAGTATCCAAATACTCAAAGCTACTAACTCCTTCCAGCATGAGCTGCTTCTAGCAAAGAGATCTTTTCTCAAGGGAGACAGAGCATGGTTCCTAAGAGAGTTTGTTCTGGGTGACTGGCAATGAAAAATCCTGGATTTACTTAAGTTTGCCTCAAGTAATCTTGATTGGCTCTCAGTGCTGTAATTTTGTTTGATCTCTTTCCATCAAAAGTCGTTTTTTTGTTTTTTGTTTTTTAACAGCTTTACCGAAATAGAGTTCACACACTACAAAATTCACCCATTTGAAGTTGTACAATTCAGTGGTTTTTAGTATATTCATCAAGTTGTGCAAACATTGCCACGATCTGATTTTAGAACATTTTCATCACCCTGAAAAGAAACCCCTGTACCCATTAGCAACCACTCCTCTGCCCCCCTCTATCACCAGCCCTAGGCAACCACTAATCTACTTTCTGCCTCTTCAAAAGGCTTTTATAGTAAAATAATCCTCAGAATTTACTTTGATTTAGTTCTTGGCTGTTACAAGACTAAAAGTTCACAATAGCACACTCCCCCCACCCCCAAATTAAATCAACAATGATAGTCCTGTTGGGTCTCTAAACACAGGAGGAAAATATAATCCTGTTCTCCATAAACCCCTGATGGTGTTCATGGCTAGTCTTTGCACGAGACCTGCACAAGCTGACCTACGCCATCCCTGGCCCCGGGCTGATGATTTGGAACACCACACCCGCCCCTCGGAACTGGTGTTCACTGTTGATGGTCCCCTTGGCAGAGGACGGCACCAGACTTTCCTGATGGTACGTTTCTGCCAGTAACTAATCCCACCTCTCAAGCTCGAGGAGTGCCTTTTACTGTAAACGTGGGGCAAAGTGTGCCTGAACTGAAAAATGACCTCGACTGTCTTATGAGGACTTGTTTTAGACTCTGAAACGCCGTACCCTGCTGTGGGGGGACACGGCAGGGCTTTTCTCCAGAACATTTCTCAGATGTCTGAGTGTGAGAAAGTTACTCAAAAACAGGGCAAAAAACAATGCCTCGGATAGTGGGGAACAGCAAGTGAAGGAAATGTGCTCTGTGGTTGTTAAATTTAATCCAAATAAACCTCCTCTCAGAAGCCGCCAAGCAGCAATACCCAGACTGTCTGTGACAATGTGAGTTAATGACTGGAGCTCAGCCATCCCAGAACTCCTTAAGCAGCTGTTTTGTGGCCGATGGCAATAGATACTTCTCTGCAGTTTGTCATCCCTTCCGCTGCGTCCATCTCTTACTGCCTGACGTCTGGATTTCTCAGCATGGATGATGCTTAGCGTTCATAAATCGGTCGCATCAGAACTGCCAGGAGAAGGGGAACGGTGCTTGGGTTTGTTAGCTTTACAAAGCCTCAAATTTTTAATGTGATTCAAGTCGAGTCCCTTGGAAACCACAAGATTTGCTGTGACTAGCAAATGGGCACGACCTGGATAATGATTCCCCCTGCCTGGTGCCCCGGCTACCTGCTGTCCTATACAAATAGCGCACGGTTCTCAATCATTTGAGCTTCTGGAGTAGCTTAAAGGACAAAGAGGGCTTCTGTGCATTTGTTAGATGCAGGGTGGTGTTGGCCCCCACAAATGGATGCGGGTGGGTTGCAACATTCCTGAAAGAAAGCAGGAAGGGAGGGATTTTCTGAGTTGGAAAGAGGGTTTGGGCAGCAGTGTCTGGAAATTTTTTTCTTCCCATTCCAACCCTCCCATGCTCTTAGACTTCCGGTGATACACCCAGTCATCGGGGTACTTTCTGCCACATCTTCTCTGTAAGACATGAACTCAACTTACTGAGAGAAGATGGAAAAGGAAACTAACATTTATTTGATGGTCTACTCTTCGCTAGGGACTAAGCTACAGGCTGGTCCTTTTTGTCTGAAATGCTCTTTTGGTCTTTTCTCATTAACTTTTTTTTTTTTAAGATTTTATTTATTTATTTGTCAGAGAGAGTGAGTGCACAAGCAGGGGGAGCGGCAGGCAGGAGAAGCAGGCTCCTTGCTCAGTAAGGAGCCTGATGTAGGACTTGATTCCAGGACCCTGCGATCATGACCTGAACCAAAGGCAGACGCTTAACTGACTGAGCCACCCAGGCGTCCCTCGTATTAACTCTTGATCATCTAAATCTTGGCTCAGAATTATCCCCTGAAGCTCTGCTTGACCCCCGAGGTTGGGATGTCAACCCAAACTCCTTTGTGCTCCTCTGTGCAACCCATACATACTTCTCTCCCCCCCTCCCCCAGTGGCAACATTATACTGCAGCTATTTTCCTGTGTGTCTACATGAGGAAGGGTCATGGCTCATTCTCTTCTTCTCGGCACCTACCACAGTTCCTAATAGGAATTCAACTATGTTGAATTGAACAAAGGTTGATTCCCTAAAACTGCCTTATAGTGAATGTCCCTCGGGACCGAGGCACTCATTTCTCCACTTGCTGGGAGTGCTGTCTGCTATGGCTCCCAGTTGGGTCCCTCCCTAAGAACAGCCCTCAGCCAGATGGAGCTGGGGTGCCCAAAGTTCCAACCCTCCCCGGGGGGGCAGTCAATAGCCAATGGCTGGTCCACGTGGTGGAGCAAAAGCCTGTACCCTTTACCTTCAAAGAGCCATCCCAACTTCAGAGCCCTTGTGGGCTTCTTAGAGGCTTCTGTTGCATCTGCATCACTGCACACTCTCCCTCAGCCAGCCCTGCCCCCCTCACTCCCTTCCAGGGGTGGTTCGGGAGGCACGCCTCAGTCAGCCTCTTGCACGTGAATCTTCATTTCAGAGTCTGTTCCTGGGGAACCCAGATCACCACAGGCCTGTTGGTTCCAATCCAGTCTTCCCCTGTTGCCCTGTAATGCAGAATGCATTTTCCAGTGTTCTCCTTGCCACTTGACATTAGAAGCAAGCGACCTTTCCTGGGGGTTTTTAATACTTGCAACAGTGGAGAAATGCAGAGGACTTAAAAAGACTCCTTCCATGTGCCTTCATTTCTTCCTGGAAAGATTTTGCATTTTCGCTCAGCCCTACTTTGTCTTCTCAGATAGGAGAAGGTCCTGAGAGACTCAGCCTTGACTAGGGGCTGAGACAGGGGGTGAGGAACATTTCAGAGGGTGTGATGTTTAACCTGGGGCCAAAAGGAGCCCTGTCCCTGAGCTGAAGCACAAAGGAGGGACATTTCAGGTAGCAGCAGGAATCAAATCAGGAAGTGCCTCAGGACTTGGGGCCGCCCAGTGTGGCATTGGCTCAGTAACGACCATCCCTATTCCATGGCTAGAAGTAAGGGAATGAAAACCAAGGGCCATCTGTATAATCAGAATTAAAAGGTTATTTGGTAAAATGCTTTTATTACCTTGATGCTGCTCTTTTCCCTATGCTTTCTTCCTTTTTCTAGTTGAAGCAGGTAGCCTTCGGAATTGCTACGACTAATTTTCATTTGGTTTCTTTGGCTTCTGTCTGAACTGAGCTGGGATTCACTTTCGACCCTTGACAGTATAGGTGGAAATGTGACGCTGGATGAGGCCCCTCCCCTGGGCTGCACCTCGGTCAGCTGCATTAAGGCTTGCTGATGCTGCTCCATTATCTGAGTGAGCTGTGAGTCTGGAGAAGCTCTAACAGGTTGGCTGTCCGAGGAAGGATGGAATTTCCTGAATGGAAAAACACCCCACAAATCTGTTACTAAAAACTGATTACATAAGACTTTTAGCATAAGAGTCTTTATGAATTTCATGTATTCATCATTCTCCAAATCAAATTAATGATCTTTAGCTTAATCTTTTTAAAGAAAGATTTATTTATTTATTTATTTATTTGAGAGCGAGCGAGAGAATCCAAAGCAGACTGTGCTGAGCATAGAGCTTGACGCGGAGCTCGATCTCACGACCCTGAGATCGTGACCCAAGCAGAAACCAAAAGTCAGATGCTTAACCGACTGTGCCACCCAGGCGCCCCTAGCCTAATCTTTTCATAAATACATTAATTTCTTAAAATCCTCCTAGTTTTCGTTAGGATAGTCTAGCTCTTATTTAGAACTTCCATTTAGTGCATTCAGAATAGAAAAAGAAAACACCCCTTTGAAAAGTCCTTGCCACTATAAAATACCTGGAAATGTTGGATTAAATTTAAACAAACATCCTTTTGAATACATAGGTGAATTTGTAAGAGAGGCAGGGAATCTTTGAGACCAAAACCAAAAAAGGAACAAAAGTAAAGCAGATTTTGGATGAGCTGAAGCTATGGCTTGCTTTGCGGAAGTTTTGGACCTGTGGGCTTGAGTTCTAGCACTTCACTCTGGCACAGGATATGTGAAATCTTGGCCCCATGTCGGGTGAGAAATCAACTGAGATGCCTGCATGAAGGCTTTGGAGAGCTACGTCCTTGATAAAAAGTTGGATTAGTGAATCAACAAAGCAAGCCCATCTGTCTTGGTCTAGGTTCTCAACTGGAAAAAAAAATTCCTTATGAATTTCCATGGGACAGTGTTTGGGGTTCATATTTACCTTACCCACCTAGTCATGGATTCCAACACCAAAAAAATGACCTAAAAATGATCCCAGAGGGGGATACCTCTGCATATCTGGCAGAAGCAAACATAAAAGTTCTCTGGAGGGATACACTCCTTCTCAAGCTTGCCTAGGCATCTACAGACAAGACGGCTAAACATACATTCACAATCCAAAATCCTAGAATATATGCGGAAATAATTTACCAAGTAGAAGAGTCAGCAGACACAAACAAGAAGCAGTGCTAGATTTCTAAGAACTTCTGATCGTAGAATATTAGATAGTATTCTTAAAGCAAGCATGTTTAAAATGATTAAAGACCTGAAAACCTATCAAAACCCTGAGAAACCTATTTTGAAAAAAGAATGGATGATAATTTTGTAGAATTTATGAAAGTGATGAATCCTCAGGTTTAGGAATCACAAGAAGGATTAAAGATTTCATACCTAGACCTAATACAGTGAAACTTCAGAACACCAAGAACAGAGGGAGGGACCTTAAAAGATGAAAACAAAAGAAATATTGACAAAAAACTTTTCACAGAAACCAGGAGATAGAAAAATGTTTTCAAAGAGTTTAACTCTTTACCAGATTAAACTATAATTCAAGATAGAGCATAAAGGAATTTCAGGTAAATTGACCAGTGACCTACTCTTGTTGAAAAAATTTCCAAAGGATATCTACTTCAGGAAGAAACCGCAAAATGGAAGAAAAACTGAGGCAAAGACATTAATAAACAGTTAAATTTAAAACATTGTATACAATAAGCAATAATTTTTGGAGATATAGGTGCTGGACAAAAATACCAGAGGGTGATTGGATTAAAACAGTCCAGCGATTCTGAATATGTCCTGGAGGAGAACAGAAATATTAACACTAGCCTAGTTAAGTTTTCTGAAAAATTAGTTGGATGGACCTAGAGGGCATTATGCTAAGTGAATTGAGCCTGACTGAGACAAATACCATATGATTCCACTCATAAATGAAATCTAAAAAAAAGAGATAATAAGCAGAATCAGTCTTCTAAATACAGAGAACAAATTCATGGTGGCCAGAGGGAAGGAGGTAGGAGGTTGGTCAAAATGGGTGAAGGAGAGAGGCTTCCAGTTATGGAATTAAAGTCACAGGAATAAAAGTCACAGCATAAGGAACACAGTCAGTGGTATTGTAATAGCAATGTAATGGGACAGATGATAGCTACACTTGTGAACATAGCATAATGTATAAACTTGTCAGATCACTGAGTTGTACACCTAAAACTAATGGAACGTTGTCAACTATACTTAAATAGGAAGAGCATGTATATTTCCAAATCAGTAGAGGGAAAGAGTAACAAAACTCTATTAGTTCAATAGAAGACCTAGATATCTATATGTAGAGAGAGATATAAAAGCATAGAAACAATAGGGTGATTGAAAGGACAAGTTAAGATGGTAGAAATAAATCCAAATAGGATTATCACAATAAATGTAAGTAGTTTAAAGTTGAAAATCCACTTGTGATAAAAGCTCTTTGCAAAAGGAATAGGAATAGGAGAAATTTCCTGTCTCTCCTCCCTGTCTACCAAAAGTGAAATATTTTTCATGATATAAATGTTAGAAGCACTCCCTCTAGAAATCCAAATCAAAACCTCAATGAGATACCACCTCACACCAGTCAGAATGGCTAAAATTAACAAGTCAGGAAACGACAGATGTTGTCAGGGATGCGGAGAAAGGGGAACCCTCCTACACTGTTGGTGGGAATGCAAGCTGGTGCAGCCACTCTGGAAAACAGCGTGGAGGTTCCTCAAAAAGTTGAAAATAGAGCTACCATATGATCCAGCAATTGCACTACTGGGTATTTACCTCAAAGATACAAAAGTAGGGATCTGAAAGGGTACGTGCACCCCAATGTTTATAGCAGCAATGTCCACAATAGCCAAACTGTGGAAAGAGCCAAGATGTCCATCGACAGATGAATGGATAAAGAAGAGGTGGTATATATATACAATGGAATATTATGCAGCCATCAAAAGGAATGAAATCTTGCCATTTGCAACGACGTGGATGGAACTGGAGGGTATTATGTTGAGCGAAATAAGTCAAACAGAGAAAGACATGTATCATATGACCTCACTGATATGAGGAATTCTTAATCTCAGGAAACAAACTGAGGGTTGCTGGAGTGGGGGGTGGGGTGGGAGGGATGGGGTAACTGGGTGATAGACACTGGGGAGGGTATGTGCTCTGGTAAGCGCTATGAATTGTGCAAGACTGTTGAATCTCAGATCTGTACCTCTGAAACAAATAATGCAATATATGTTAAGAAAAAAAAAAAGGTAGCAGGAGGGGAAGAATGAAGGGGGAAAATCAGAGGGGTAGATGAACCATGAGAGACGATGGACTCTGAAAAACACACTGAGGGTTCTAGAGGGGAGGGGGGTTGGAGGATGGGTTAGCCTGGTGATGGGTATTGAGGAGGGCACATTCTGCATGGAGCACTGGGTGTTATGCACAAACAATGAATCATGGAACACTATATCTAAAACTAATGATGTAATGTATGGGGATTAACATAAGAATAAAAAAATTTAAAAAAGGAAGCACTCCCTCTAAAGTCAGGAAAAAAAGACCAGGATGCTTGCTATCTATCACTATCTCTTCCAGGAAGCTAAATCTGAATTTTATCGAATGTATATTCTATACCTCCAAGTACAGCACTGAAATGTCTTCTCATCTCTTCAGATATGCAAAATTGCCTCCCTACTTTGAAAGTAAGCTCCTGGAAGGTACCTGTGCATCATACTACTTTTGTATCTTCTATAGCATTTTAGCACTGGATTTAGTGCATATCAGGTATGTGATAAACACATTTGATTGAATGACATCAGGAAATGTCCCCTGAAGTGATTTTTAAAATAACTTTTTTTTTTTTCTGATTATAGAAGGAATATATCTACATTGCAGGGAACGTGAACAATTCAGAAAGTATGAAGGTGACATTAGAAATAACCCCAATCTCTCTTGCCAGAAATAACCACTATTGACATTTTGGTGCATTTTTCTTCCTTTGTGCACAGTTTTACATAGTAGAGCTCCTACTCCTTAGGTATATATTTGTACCTTACTGGTTTTTTTTTTTTTTTTTAAATAGAAGTGTTTCCTCATAACCGTAACTTTTAACGGTTACATGATATTTGATACCATAATTTACCTAAACCTTTCCTTATTGTTGGATTATTGTTGTCATTTTGATAAATGATGTTATTTTTGTGCATACATATTTTTCTGTATTTTTGATTATTTCCTTAGGATAGGTCAATACAATGTTGGAGATAGTTTCCTCCAAACATTATTTGTAACCCTCAAAATATACTGATCTTTTTTTAATGACCAGTCCCTCCGTCCTCCTCCCCTCCCTCCAACCTCTGGCTTAACTACAGTTAAAAACTAGAGGAGACAAGGAAGAAGAAAAATACATTGAAAGTGGACTATTTGAGGCAGAAATCAGAGCCAGCTCGGGCGCCTGGGTGGCTCAGTCCATTAAGCATCTGACTCTTGTTTTTGGCTCAGGTCATGATCTCAGGGTAGTGAGATCAAGCCCTGCATTGGGTTCCACACTCAACGGAGAGTCTGTTTGAGATTCTCTCCCTCTCCTTGTGCCCCTCCCACCTTCCACACTTGAGCGCGCGCTCACTCTCTCTCTCAGATAAATAAATCATAAAAAAAAAAAAAAAGGAATCCGAGCCAAGGACCTTGTTAGGTTATGTTTCCCTCTCCCCTGACAATCCCCATGACCTGCCCACCCCCCTATTCTCCCTCTCTTGTCTTCAGTGGTCTCTCATTTCTCCTCTAGAAAAACACTTGAGAAAAGGGAATTCTTACCATAATATTTCTAAGTTCTTATATTTTGTCTCTGTGTAAGTCTGCTTGGGTTGCTTCTTATTTTCCCTCGATCCATTAACATTTTTGTTAGGAATGGACTGGGAGCCCTTCTGGCTCAGGGGCACTTGTCTCTTAGAAAGCTCATTAAGGTAGTTCAAGTCCATATTAGAAAGAGTGTTGATGTGTAGCTGCTGATGTGACGGTCTTTTCTCTTCTTGGCCTTTGTGTCCTCTTTCTTTCTCAACATTCATGGAGTGATATCCAGTAGAGTTTTTGTACAATACCTTATCAAGAGCCTGCTGTGGTGGAGCAAATTTATTGGAGGTTACTTTGGGCTCCTGGCTCCTAAGTGCACTTGAGTGTTGTAAATCATTGTTAGGCGCATTCATAATTCCGATTGTTTCGTGCTTTACTGAAGTGTCAGTAGGCTTATTTTGGTTTTGTTGCTGTCTGGGAGTGTTCTGGTTTCTGTGACTGACAGCCAGCTCTTCAGTCACCAAAGACTTCAGGCCATGCTGGTGTTTATGCTGGTTTCGAATCTTGTGATTGGCTGGTTTCCTGGAAGGTTGTTGGCCATTGGTTGTTTCAGAAGATTGACCTCTCGGTACCCAGTTTGATTTTGCACTTTCATATTGAGACAAGTGTTCCTGATAATTCTGAAAAGATATCTTTGGTTAATGTAAAGTCAGATGATCGGCACTCTTCACATTTTACCTTAGTATTTTTCAAACTAGGGGTCACTTCTGGGAAGGTGACCACAGAATTGAAAGGAGATAAAGAGTACAGTAGGTCCTTTCCTAATTTCAGGATATGAGCGTGATTAGCTGAGTAATTCCTTCTGGCAATTTCAGATTACGAATTTTCTAGAAAGAAGTAGAAAGCTTAGAATGGGCTTTATATTAAGGACAAGTCTTTGACTTCAAATGTAAAATGAAGTGTTACCAAGTGCGGGGGGGTTGGGGAGGGGAAGGAGCTTTACCTCCACAGGGCTACATATAAAGGAAGTACAAATCTACATCAAAATATGCAAGTTTATTTTAACTAAGGTGAATATTTTTAAAAATCTTAACCAGAGAGGACATCAATGATCCGGTTTACCAACCAAGCACAAGTCAAATATGAGATACAATTTAGATGATTAGATCTTCTTACTCATATAGGTCAGAAGCTAGAAATGACCTCTTCACCAGATGAAACAAATTAGATTTTATTCAGAGGATTATAAAAGAGTCTGCACTGTGATAGGACATCTGTGAAACCACATGGGTTGTTTTGCTTCAGTTCCTTAATATAGCCTGTACTTAGGCAATCAAACATCTGGGGGAAATATTTCAATTTCAGAATGGTCTTTATGCTTTTCAAAGTCTTGTAACAACAAAATGTACTCCTGGTATAATAGATACACTACGTAACTATATTGTGCTAAGCCATTTAGAAATAGTTTCCAAGGAATAAAGCACTCATTACTTTGTGAAAAACTAGCAGAGTTAAGAGGCCTTTGGAAAGAATGATTAAATGCTTAGTAAAAACAGTAATATGACCATATGCATCAGTGTGGTATATAACTGCAACATATTTTTTTCTTTCTGAATACACATAAAAAAAATCTCTACCTGTGCAATGTTAATTGAAAAATGCCAGTTACCTGGGTCATTCAAGGAAAAAAACAACCCTTAAAGTGAATAAATCCTATTTCTGCTCAAATTGTTTTAGCTTGCCATGAAGAATGATCAAATTATTGCAGTGAGTTCAACTTTTATTTCACTTTTCTGATCTAATTACTAAGACATCCTATTCCTGTATAATATTAAATGGTATTCTATTTCTAATGAAATTTCTCTATAATGATGAGATTGTTAAACTTAAAACAGTACTAAATAATGCTACTATGCATTTCCGATTTTTAAGTATAAATGGCTTATCTGAAATTCAAAGCATGTTCTCCTTGCTTTTTGGAGGATTGGCCAGGTTCTGATGAGCTTGTCTACACTTTGAATTTTTACCTGTGGTACTCCAAAAAAGAAAAACTTCCCTTTCTGTATTTCAATTAAGAAAGGTTCTTTCTTTGGGGCACCTGGGTGGCTCAGTAGTTAAGCATCTGCCTTCGGCTCAGGTCATGATCCCAGGGTCCTGGGATTGAGCCCCGCACCAGGCTCCCTGCTCAGCGGGAAGCCTGCTTCTCCCTCTCCCACTCCTCCTGCTTGTGTTCCCTCTCTCGCTGTGTCTCTCTCTGTTAAATAAATAAAATCTTAAAAAAAAAAAAAAGTTTTTTCCTTCCATGCAGTATACGGAGCTGCCTGGGAGAAATGTGGGCGAGAAGGCTCTGCAAATAGGCCAAGACCATTCTTTCTTATAGTGGACCCAGAAGAAAACTGCTATTGTACAATCTTATCAGGTGTGTTAATAAAACACAGTGGCTATTTTCATGGCCATCATCACTGTTCATGAAGGTAAAAAACAAACAAAAAAAACCGATGTGCTACAATCTATAAATACTTACTGATGCTGATAATGTCATTTTATTATTTTTTTAAAGATTTTATTTATTTGAGAGACAGAGTGCAGAAGCAGGGGGAGGAGCAGAGAGAGGGAGAAGAAGACTCCCCACTGAGCAGAGAGCTGGACATGGGGCTCAATCCCAGGACCCCAAGATCATGACCTGAGCTGAAGGCAGATGCTTAACCAACTGAGCCACCCAGGCGCACCTGATAATGTCATTAAAAAAATATATTTGTCAGGGGTACCTGGGTGGCTCAGTCAGTTGAGCATCTGACTCTTGGCTTCAGCTCAGGTCATGATCTCAGGGTCCTGAGATCAAGCTGCACGTCGGGGTCCACACTCAGCGCGGTGTCTGCTTGAGATGCTCTCTCTTCCTCTCCCTCTGCCCCTCCCCCCACTCGTGTTCTCTTTCAATAACTAAAGTCTCAAAAAATAAAAATAAAAAATATCTGTCATCCTTTTGATTGCTAGAAAAAAAGTGAACAGGAGCTTTTTCTGCTATCTGACCGTACATGTCCCAGTTCTCTGTCCTCATTCCCACCAACAAAGAAAAAAAACGCTATCAGGAATTTTTTCCTTAGGGTACCGGACCCGAAATCTTGGGTTGCCACTTGGTTTTAATCATGTTATACCTTTGCGGCTGACTATTCAGATTACAATAGTACTCTTCACAGGGTGCTTTGTCAACAAGGCCAAGGACTCATCATTTTATGAAACTTCAATTGTCTCAAGTGTTAAATCCGCTATTCACAGAAATGTAAGTGCCCAGAGATGGCATTTCAGTCCCCAGAAAGGAAGACATTTACAGGCTTGATGTGATTTCTCTCACCTTCTGAGCAGACTACTTGAAATCTGTGGTTTACTGAAGATTTATTACCCGACAATTGAGACATCAGGTGTCACTTTTTAGGTCGCAAGACCTGAGTTCCCTCAAGTTAATATACAAAGCCATTCTCAGGCTACTTAATCTCCACCAGCACTGAAATCCTCTATTCCATCCTGCTCTCAGTGGGGTTCTTTTGTTACCAATACTCACAATCAGTCCATACTCCATGCACTAAGAATAACTGCTTAATGGCACTGGGTTTTCCCAGAGCACACACAGCAGTGGCCATTGGTACAGCGTTTGCATTGGGGAATCCTGATGCCTAATGCGGGGATGATAATTTCTTAGTAAGATTCGTACTTAATTATTAATGTTCTTTCATACCGTGCCATCCAAGGGTAGTTTGCCCCCAACCCTGTGAAAGGCAGTGTCTGGCTGTTTCTCTTTCACAGCTTTCCGGTTTACAAGCTATAAGCAGAGGGGAGGATGCATGCTCTGTTTCAACCAAAGGTTCATCTGCTTTGAAACAAAAGCCATTCTTGCTCTTTGTTACCCTGATAAACCCTGAGGGTTGTGCTTGGGCTCCGAGATCAGCTCTGACATAGAGACGTGTCTGTTGTATTCATTAACAATAAAATACAAATACTTTGAGCAGGGGTTATCAATGCCATCTGATAATATTAAGAACATTTAGAGCACATGCATTAACTGGCTCCCATTTTCAGCATCAGTAAGGGAGGACTCTACGTTCAGATGAATAAAAGGAGCATAGCTCTCTTGATGGTGTTGGAGGCAAAACCAAAATAATTGCTCTTATATTCTTATAATAAGAGGCAAGGTGGGAAGAGAACTTAGGATGTGATTACAAGGACTTTGGTATCAATTAGTCAAAGATCCTACATACCTTTCACCCTGTCATGCCTTTGCCTTGCCTAGAAAGTCAAGAGTTATTTTAGAGTGGCAAGAAAGGAAACATCCTATTTCATTTTTTCAAAGTTTCACTTAATTGGAGAAGTTTCTATTTTTTTCCTATTGACCCCATGCTCCGTGCCTGGGAAGACTCTTCTGCTATTGGGAGTGTGCTCACTTGCACAATCTGGCAAAGGTCAGACCCTTAGCTAAGTACTGGGTCCAGTTCTGGCTACACAACGGAACTAAGATTTGGAAAAGCCGTGAAGATTCATAGGGGAGCACGGAATGATCCAGGACAAGATCTATGTGGAAAGGTAAAGTGAAGAGGGATGACTGGGTTTAAAGTAAAGCCCTTAGGCACAAGTAGGATGCTTCCATAGAAAGGGATGATGATGACCATCAGTTGTCAGTATTTTAAAAGTGAAGATGCATAGGCTTAAATGGTCTCAGGGGCTTTGTTTCTGACATATCTTCTTTGTTTCCTTGCCCTATCTCTGGTTTCTCCACCTTGCAGCTTGTGAATGTACTTCTATCTCTTCTATGAACAAAAAAATGCAAGAATCCCTCACTTGATCTCATTCTCCAGTTAAACCTCATCTCTTAATCCCGTGAGGCATCTTGCAGGTGTAGGCTGTACTGGCCTTCCTTCTCCCTCTCTGGTTGTGCCCTCTACACCCTGCAAGAGAGCACGGATTCTCACCACCCCGCCCACACTGCTCTGCTCAGCCCACCGGTAACCTCTTCCTTGCAAAATCCTCTGGGCACCGTTTTCTTTACCTTTTCATTTTTTCAGACTTACAAAATTATTTCAAACTTACAGGAAAATTGCAAGAATAGCATGGAGAACTCCCAAATATTCTTCCTGAGATTCATTAATGTTGTGCCAGTTTCATCTTTTTCTGCGTCTCTCTCCACATACAGATAGATGGACACTCAAATATACATATACATCATTTCTGTGACTATTATGTGCATTATGGCTAGTTTTTTTTTTCTGAATCCTTTGAGACTAGCATGTATGAGTTGCATGTATCATTCCCTTTTCATGGAACCCTTTTTAAGTAAAAAGTAAAAAATTCTCTCCTGCAGAGCTCGACCCTGTCCACTGATGTCTCTTTCTTGAGATTTTTCAGGTCTCGACTTCCATGACACTATTTTAGCCTGGCGGCCCTTTACCTCTCTAGCAAGCCCTTCATGGTCTCTCACCTTCTGCTCTCTTCCTCTGCTTACCCTTAAAATTTAACCCTACTCTACCAGGCGCTGTTCTTGACCCTCTTCTCTTCTCCCACTACCTCTGATTCCTGGGGCATCTCAGCACTTCCTACATCTTTAGTCCACTAGGGAGTGGATTCTTAAGATCAAACGTATGTTGCTAACTCAGAGGTCTCTTCTGAGTTCTATGCTCGGATCGCATTCTTCCTCCAAACTCGACATCAGGCTCACCACCCCTGTTCTTGTGCCCTTCCCCCATTCCACCCCAGCACGAAAGCTCTTCTGTTCTACCTCAGTGGTATTAGTACCACTAATCGGATACTTGGAAACCAGTCTCTTTCTCTCTCCCCCATTTACCTTGTATTCAAACAGTTGCGGAATTTGTTAATCTCTCTCCTTGACCATCTCTAGGCAGGCACTGAGGGGGCTGCTCTGAGCTGCAGGACGTTTCATCCAGTTGGTGGATTTAGATCTGTCCACCATACTGAAAAGTGAGTGAATGGTGTGTGGAGTGTGAGACAGACCCAGAGCAGGTGCTGCTGCCCTGAGTTCTCGAATGATCTCTTACAGGAACCACAGCATACATCCCCTAACTGGTTTTGCTGTCTTTGCAATCTTATTTCCTTCCAGTCTATTCTCCAGACCCTGGCTAGAATGATTTTTCTACCACGTTCAGCCTCATCATGTCATTAACCTGCTTAAAATTTGCCCATGGCTTCCTGCCATTTGCAGGATAAAATCTAAAACCTTTTGGCCGACATAAAAGCCTTCCACGGCCCCTACCTCTAGTTACCTAACCTGCCCGTGTCCCACCACTTCCCTCCCTCACACGTGCTCCCCCAGTTGCTGAGCTGTGGGTGAGGCTGAGGATACACCACGTCTCGCATGCTCTCAAACCTCAGCTCCCATTTGTCGGTTTGCCATATTTTGATTCATCCTTCTAAGGTCTGTTCAAATGCTGTTTCTTTTCAGGAGACTTTTCTTGCCTTTTAAGGCAGAATTAGGTGCTCCTTTCGTTCCTACTGCATGTTGAACCTATGTTCCTATTATTGCATTATAATGATCACATAACTGTCTTCCAACTAAAGTTTTGGGCTCCTTGAGGGTAGGGACCATTTTTTTAAAAAGATCTTTTCTTTAATTATTTTTTTTAAAGTTCTTTTTTTTTTTGAACCATGTTTTTTGGGCCAGACCCCTGACCCTGAGTGCCTGGAATATAGTTGGTACTCAATAAATATTTGCTGTGGGAATTATTTTGATTTCATGTAAAGACATTTCTTATTAGTGGGAGATATTCATTGTTAGAGTAGGTCTACTGAGGGATATGTAGAGTCTTCTGAAGTTATCTTTCAAGAAAAAAAATTTCAGAGAGGCCCATTTTCACAAAATGATTTTTACACATTTCTGTAACCAACCAGTAAATATTTACTGAGTGTTCGCTTTGGACAAAGCACTGTGCTAACAGCTGTAGAGAAACATACAATCTTAATGTTCAGGCAGCTTCTAGTGTAGTTAGTACAAAAGGAATACAGGCAGCAGCTAATGAAATGCAGCCAAATGATAAACCCTGAGGGAGTGGTCCAGACCATAGGCACAGTCGCAGAGTGAGGGGGCAGAGGATGGGGTGGGAGAGGCTGGGAAATCCTCATGCAGGGCGGGGGATCAGAAAGAAAGCCCTGGATTTGGGTAGCTGAATCAGAAAAAGAAAGGCAGCTTGGAGCTGAGTGCCTGCCTTGCTAGTGTGTAGGATGCAGCGGGGAGTTAACAAATCCTTTCTAAATAAAGAAAGGGACGCATCCCGTGGACCACTCTGCGTTGATCGTTTTAGGTCTAATGATTTTATATGTTTGGCTCCTTTGTCCTCATTCAGGAGTGGGTTATAAACAAATGAGTTCTAGTACACACAGAGAACACACAGCATTCTTTTGGCTTTCTTCTGATTTTCTTCCATACAAAAATTTTGACCGCCTCTGTCTAAGGCCATGTCACGAATCAAGCCCTGTGATTATTTTATCATTGGCTTTGGTCCTATAATATTGTGTAGTGATGATTATGGAAGCTCGAGGTTGCAAGAATCTTACAGGCTTCAAATAGGTTTTCTATAATAATTTAAGTAACTAGAGAAAAATATCCTAGCATAATAGCATTTTGTTACTGGGATGCATCTTGTAGTTCATTTGAGGCAACTCTTCATTTAATAAGGAAGAAACTTAAGGCTTGGGGGGAGTTGAGATTTGCCCAAAGTTCTGCATCAACTAAAAGACAGGCAAAATCCGTGTCTTCTGACCCAGTCCATTATCGGTAACACGTGACAAAACCTTAAGGTATTTCCCTTGTCCTCTCCATCCTGTTGGCCAAGCTCCCCAGGCTCTCGCAGAGGTCTGGTGTAGACCCTGTCCTCTACATCCCACTGCCATGGACATTTCAGTGCCTCTGGGTGTGGTCCCTCTGGCATCAGCTTTCAGGAAGCTCTGGGTGAATGACTGTTTTTATTTTTTATTTATTTATTTATTTATTTATTTTTGCAACTCTGAGAGGGACCTGGAAGCCACTGTGAAGGAAAGATGATTTAGGTTGTAACTCTTTTCTAAATTCTCTGAAACTGGAATGAACTTTATTTTTATTATTATACCTTTAGCACTGTACATAGTTTGAACTGATGGTGTCAGTAGGCTTTCTAGGCTGTGTGATTTCACAGGGCGTCAGTAGGCTTTCTAGGCTGTGTGATTTCACAGGGCGTCAGTAGGCTTTCTAGGCTGTGTGATTTCACAGGGCGTCAGTAGGCTTTCTAGGCTGTGTGATTTCACAGGGCGTCAGTAGGCTTTCTAGGCTGTGTGATTTCACAGGGCTCACCCCTCCTTCAGCAGGGATAGAATCTGGTGTAAGACTGCTCCATAGAACTCCATACACCGGTTCCAGAAGAAACCATCTGCTAGTGCTTTTCCTCTTCTAGAGAAACGGTCAGGGGGACTGTTTTGCAAAAGTCTTCCCTAAAATCACATTATGATATCAGAGTAGTAAACCCAGGGCCAGAAAAGGATGTTTTCATGCTAAATTACTGGTTAGTTGGCTTTCCCTTCCTGCAAATGAGGGTTAAATGAGGCTCTGGGGATTTCTGCCCAATTTTAGGGACTGTGTTCCCCATCAGCTAGGGATGCTGTGACTACCAGCTCCATAAGGAAACAGACTTGGGAGCAGTGCAGATTTGGACAATATTTTACAACTGTGATCCCATCCCCCCGCACTTTCTCCATGCTTTTCTTCTGTTTGGGGTTTTAACTCTGAATTTTTAAAGAGTGATGTGATGATTTTCTTCTAGGAAATTTAGGACCTTTGGAAAAATGGGTAGACTTGGTTGGCTGAGCAAGCAATGGCCCATCTGGGCAGAAACCAGTCTTGCTCTTAGAAGGGTGGTTCACTAGGTCTCAGGCATAGGAATAAACCTGTAAGTGATAAGTGAGTCGTGGACATTACTTATATTTAGCAGTAACCCTTGAAACCCATTTAAAGTTCAATCTAGCAGGTAACCTTTAGCTGTTGGGCTCTTTGATGCCATTTGTCTTCAGGATTGATGGCAGCATTTTCAATCTCTTTGGCGTTCTGAATGGACGTCTTGTCAGTCACACTGATGGGGTAGGAGATCTAAGAGGGTAAAACATATAAAGCATGTTAATGGGATTCATTTTAAGTCTTAGATACGAGGCTCATCTGTGTACTCTAGAAAGAGGTCCTGCAGGGCTGCGTTTTATTTTCAGTTCAAGGATATATCTTTGTCCTCAGGGACCTGGATTGTTCCTAAGGACAACGGGAATAAATAATGTTTTCTCCCACAGGCTTGATGTGAGAATTGGTGCTTTGAGGTCAAACTACTATTTACTTTAAATGTTCAATACACACTCAGGGGACCCAATTTTAGAACAGTTATCTGAACCGGATGTAGCAACTAATGTTGAGTATATTAAATGAAATAATAGTGAAATAACACTATGTTTCAAGATGATAATAATAGAAATAACAATATTTAATATACAGTGAATGTTCATGGTGTGCTAGTAGCTGTCCTAAGCATTTAGCATATGTTCTATCAGTTATACTATATTAACCTTATTGGGTATGTACTATTACCCCCTTCTTGCAGATGAGAAAACTGAGGGACAGAGACATTAAGTAACTTGCCCAGAATCAATAGCTAGTAAGTGGAGGAGCCAGGCAGTCTAACTCGAGTCTCATATTCAGCAATTTTGAAATATCATCTTTGACTTGCAGAATTTGTAATGTTGGCATTCAGTGAATTTGAATGATGTAGATCAGAGGTTCTCAACTTTAGTTGGATGTTAGAATGACAAGATATCAGTGCCCTGGTCCTATCCCAGATAGATTAAATCAGGAGCTCTGGGGTGGTTCCAGATAGCATTATACTTTATTTTTTTAAAGATTTTATTTGTTTATTTGGGAGAGAGAGCAAGAGAGAGCACGAGCGGGGGGGCGGGGGGTGAAGGAGGAGAGGGAGAAGCAGGCTCCCCACTGAGCAGGGAGCCCAATGCAGGGCTCCATCCCAGGACCCTGGGATCATGACCTGAGCCGAAGGCAGACGCTTAACTGACTGAGCCACCCAGGAGCCCCTAGCATTACACTTTAAAAGTTTCCCAGGTGGGTCTACTCTGGAGCAAGGTTTGGGAACCACTGACAAAGGCAGCTACATGGGATTTAGGTCCCTAAATTATGGAGGCCCTTCATTGCCTCCATTAGCTACCTATTTTATTTTATTTTTAAAGTTTATTTTTCAATAATCTCTACACCCATTCTGGGGTTCACACTCATAAACCCGAGATCGAGTCATTTGCTCTCTCTACTGAGCCAGTCAGGTGCCCCGCTACCTATTTTAAATCAAGAAATTAGATTGTCTCTATGTTCTATGGAATTCTAGCCACCAGGAAGAGTTTCAGAAAGCAAACTTAAAGTTATACTGTCTTAATGTTGGTCAAAGGATCTGGAGATAATCCAGTATAACTGCTTAGTACTTCTGTACCATCCCTGGCGGATACTCATCCACTTGCTGCCTAAACTCATGCCCTTTCTCCTGGCAGGAGTCACCTGTTTATGTCCTACGGGCTGAGGAGGGAGCATAAGGTGGCTTGTGAATCCTCCCTCCCTTTCTGTGGGAGACCTGGTCCTTTCAACCTTTCCATGGAATAAAATGTTAGCTCTCTTAATCTCTGTTTCATGGATGATGAACATACTGTTGCATCATTGAACCACCTAAAAGTTCTTCCTAGGAGAGCAGAAATATATCTTCCTGTAATTTCTATCCCTCTGCCCTCTGAAGTAATGGATTAAGTCGATTAATCTCTCTCTCAGACAATAGCCCTAAATGTTAGCCGCTGACTGTGATGCCTTTGCTAAACCTCCTCTTATTTACAGGATCTGGGGCAAGATTTCTTTGCCTTTCCTCCAGTGACAGGTTACCCAGGTTGGCTCATTTGGCTACTGTGCTTTGTGGCTTGTAAAGGTTGACTTCCCCCTTTCTAAACTGCTGTAACTAATTTTTAGATTTAGATTCTGGATTTTACACTTGTTTTATTAAATTGAACCTGGTGGGCTGTGTCGTGTGAGAAGCAGCAAGCTATGTAACGCTGGGAAAAGCATGGGATTTAGAATCTGTCATTTTTTTAAATAAGATTTTATTTATTGAGAGAGCGAGAGTGAGAGAGCGCAAGCAGGGGGAGCAGCAAAGGGGGAGGGAGAAGCAGGCTCACCACTGAGCAAGGAGCCCGATGTGGGGCTTGATCCAAGGATCCCAGGATCATGAGCTGAAGGCAGATGCTTAACTGACTGAGCCCCCCAGGCACCCCCAGAATCTGTCTGTCATGTTTGTGTTCGGATTCTCCTGCTGCTCCTTACTTTTACTTTGCATTTATGCAGACTGCTATTCAAATGAGAAAGGGGGGGAAATATTTGTTAAATATTAATAAGTCAGTGTCTGACAATAAAGATAACCTCATTCCTCACTGCTCGATGCGGCTTCTGTGGCCACATGCAAGACAACATTTATTTTGGGTGAACTCTTATCTCTACCTGGATACATACCTGTCGTCGTTACTGTACTCATATAGATACAGCAATCAGATGGTATGGAAGTTTGAATACTTAAAGGTTGATCTGAGAATGGGAAAAAATGAAAATAAGACTTCTTCATGCTTGAATTATCATGGCAAATACAGGAGCAAAATGTGCTATTGGATCATGGGATCAAATGAAATTGCATTTTGAGCATCATAAGCTGTGTAATGTCTATTCAATGTCTACAAATAGGAGTACTCAGGGTGCCTGGGTGGCTCAGTCATTAAGCGTCTGCCTTCGGCTCAGGTCATGGGATCGAGCCCCGCAACGGGCTCCCTGTGCAGCAAGGAGTCTGGCTTCTCCCTCTGCCTGCCGCTCCCCCTGCTTGTGCTTTCTCTCTCTCTCTCTTTAATAAATAAATAAAATCTTAAAAAACAATTAAATAGGAGTACTCAACAGATTTTGAAAGATTACCTACTCTGCAGAAGGAAAACTTCCCAACACCACCAAACAGTCTAACTTGCTCTGAAATAGAAAGTTTAGGGATATAAATGCTGCCACCGAAGGTCAGGAACTGTGAGTCTTGATGGCATCTCTCAGTCCCTCTCCTGGCACTGGTTTAGGAAACGAGAGGTCTATAAAAGTATTAGGTTTCATAATTTTGGTCCCTGCTATTGCAAAGGTTTCTATCCCTTATGGCCATGATGTTAAAAGGAAACACCCCTCATTTACAAGTAAAATCATCTCTTTCCTGGACAAGAAATGAAGGCTGAGTTGGGGGGAAAAAAAAACTAAATAGGCTGGCAAGGAAATAATCCTTTTTCAAACCTCAAACAGGTGATGTCTTGGACAAAAATGTTATCTGGAGCCTGGGAGAAAAAATTGGGTTGATTCCTAGATCCGCCACTAGGATGTTCAATTCCCTGGCTTTTGTAAAGGGACTTGGTTTAGTTAATTCAGTCTGTCACTGGTGATCCTGTGACCCGGGATGGGATCCCTTACACACAGCTCTGGTAAAAAGTTTCTGAATTACAAATACATTGTCCTATGCTTCCTTCCCCAGAGAGTGTAGGATGTGCAATATTTCCATCCACAGGCTGTTTTGGTGGAACTCGGTGTCTGAATCACCCCAGTGAGAGCCTCAGGGCAAGTAAAGCATACTTCTACATTATCTCTTTGAAAGTGGAATGGGACACAACCTCTGCCAGCTATTTTTTTTTTTTTTTTTGTGAACCATTCTATTAATACCAATCAAATCGAGAAAATGATCAAATGAAATTGCATTTTGAGCATCATAAGCTGTGTAATGTCTATTCTGTTAAATTGGGGCCTATAATTGCTTCTCTACTGAAAAGATACAACAAAGACAGCAATCATGGCATGTCATTATCCCAGACTAGAAAACCGGCCTTTGCTGGGAGGACTTCAAAGGCTTGTGGTTCTCGAATTGCATTTGGCTGCTATTGATGAAACGCAGGCAATCCTGATTAGGTGTTTACACTGAGGTAAGGCGCAGAGCAGAGAGCCTGAGTGCCTGGGTCTAGAGCCATTAAAAAATTGTACATTATGTTCCTTGCTTTGAAGTGAGGGTTTGTAGGAAGGAAAGCAACTCAGATTGAGTACAGCTGAGCTAGATTGGGCTGCTACTTCTCTCTCAAAGAAAACTCGTCAGGTTCTTAGAGAATCGGCACCACACAAAAAAAGTTGAGGCTTTACACCAAGGGCTATATGTGAATTAGTGTCTCTGCACAGACACACACCGAAACATGTTTAGAAAGCGTATTATCCTTAAGTTCCCCAATCACTGCAAGTTTTGCCCCTTTATTCCTTGATACTGTTTTCTTTTTTTATCACTGACGTCATGCGGAACCGCACAATTAACATATCCGTTTCCTTGTTATTCCCTGATGGTATTAACAACCAGCACAGAGCCAAATCAAAATAAGCCAATCTGATTTTTTTTTTTTTAATGTCGTATTTGCTTACCGTCCCTCCAACACATCTGCTACTTAACCCCTCTCTTCGGGAACGAGTCACTGGATTCCGTGAGCATTGGTGAACTTGGCGAATGGGTGATCTGCTGTGTTAACTCTGTTCTATTTCTGATGCATTGTGCTCTGTGGGAGCGCAAGCCCGCTAGCATCTCTCTCTCCGTACGTGGCCGGCAGAAGAGATGGAGGCATGGTGGCGCCGAGAGCCCGCCATTGTCAGGCTCCGACGTGGCTATTTTCCACAGCTGTTTGAATTCTCTGGGGATTTGTATTCGTGATTCAGCTATTTAGAGACAAAACACATGAACTCTTTTGGCTCTGCTGTTGGCCACTTTCTCCGTTCCCGCAGAACCCTTCATAATGCATTTCACACGCAGGTGCTCAATCAGAATGTGATGACATTGGAACCTTTGGAGATACTACTTTTTTGCATTCATTTTCTGTATAAGATCCTGCAGCTTTTAAAACCCCTGGACTAATTATGCCAGCCAGCGCTTTAAAACCCTTCAGTGCCTCCCCATTGCCCTTAATCTTTAAAGGTTTTTAAGGCCCTGCCTTCTGTACTTCTCACTCTTCTCACCTCGTACTTTC